ACGAGCAGTTTATTAAAAAAGCATATTAACAAAATGTAAACATAAAATAGGTATTTTACATAAGGTAGGATAAAATCTTAAAATTTTTATTCATTTAAGAGACTTTTTTTAATAAAAATAAATATCTTCAAAATATCTTATAAAGTTCTAAATTTATAACTTTTTATTCATACAAATATTTATCTAACGAATTTGGCATCGTTAATATAAAAATTTAGGAATTTATTTTAATTGATTTCAAGGTTTATAGCTAAACCACTAGCTAAACCATATCGATAAATTTTAATCTACCAAATTAGCAACACAAACATTTCGTAGGTTTTAATATTTAAATATTTTAATTAATCTAACTATAGGTACTAAGTTAGTACTACTAACCCCAATATTTTAACAACAACGACAAAATTAATATACAGTTCAAATTGTAACAAAAAACAGTAAAAATCGCCAAAAATTGTTATATTTGAACATTTAGTTTTTTACAATTTAAGATAAAAATTGATGATATTTGAATCGTAAAATAAATATAAATAGCGAGTCAAATGCTCACCGATGGTACATTTATTAGGTACATCTTGAGTAAGAAAAACACGATAAAAGTATGAGTTATTACTCATTATGATAAAATTGCAATCACGTCGATAAAAGTTCACACACACTCTAGAAAAAATAATGTTAGGTATTATAATGTTGGTAAGCCTGTTAATTTAATTTTAATACCCAATAGTATAAAAAAAATCAATAAAAAAAGGTTTTGATAGTTTTTAAAAATTGATGATGCGCCGCACAGTGGTCTGAAACGCAAATTTGCGCGGCAAAAATCCAATTTTTAAAACACTTTATTAACGCATTGTGATGCCTCTTTATTGTTCGTGACAGATTATTACCAAAGATTTTAAACTGCGAAGTAGAATTTACTGCGTATGCGTTGCGTTATAACAAATACATGAAAAGATTGTCAAAAATACTCTTACTTTCGGAATCTTGTCTTTTTCGTGTAAAAAAGGTGTTGCGTAAATATAGTAGTGAAAATTAGTGTCAAAAGTTTATAGTAGGGATAAAGTTGAGTACAAATACAACTTTAAAATGTCTTTTTTTGTATTTTTTGCCAAAAATATAGCGTTTTTAACCTTCAAATTCCCAAGTTTTGTAATTACAAATAATGAATGGAATATAAGTAAAAATTTATAATTACTTGCCCAGAAATTCATAGTGCATTCGAAAATATGAACCTCCAGCTCCGACTTAATAAAAATTCATCTGCCTTTATGCGCCTATAAGAGAGTTATGCAAAAATGAAAAATGGCCGACAAATTACCGCTAACCTGGTCATAAAAGTAATATATTTTTTAAATTTGACAATAATTATTGCATTTAAGAATGGTAATACAATTTTCTTTACTCCTATTACATAATATTATTTTTTTAATATACTTTGTATATTATACAGTGTGCTCACGGATGGTAATGACAATAGAAAAAAACTTTTTTATTAGGTATGATACAAAAAAACATGTTATTTAAAAACTTTTGCTTGTTTGAAAAATAAGATTCCTACACAAACATTTTGAATTACATGTCCAGGGTGCTCAGAAAATAAAAAAAACAGCAAAGTGCTTTAAGAGGGTAGTACAATAATTATTGATCTATAGGAATCTCATTTTTAAAACAAGCAAGAGTATTTAACGCATAATAAAAATAATAAGTTTTCCTATTGTCAATCATCACAATATTGGCTAAAGGGTTGTTAAAAAGAAATATGGTGAAATGTAAAATGTTGATATAATAATATATTTTTGATACTTTGAAGGTAATGGTCTTTCGGTTATTCATGATAAAAAATTATGCTTGCGCCATGTTGCAATCGCCAACATTGGCGATCGCCCCCTGATACGAACTATAAACATTTATTTATTTAATAAATAACTTATTAAATATAAAACAAAAAAAAAAACAAAAAATTCACAAATATTAAAAAAATTCATTTTATATCATTTGGCTAGATTTTTGAAAAAAATTTATATAAGAAGTAAATTTAGCACCCTTAAAAACATAAAAAATACACGTCTTGGGAAAAATATTTAAAGAATTTTTGCCGCGTAAATTTACCTCTCAGGACCATTGTGCGCCGGGATTATTATTTTAACTACAAATTAATAAATATACAATTAGACACACTTTGGTTAAAAATACCTACTTATTTTTAATATTTTAGTTATTATTATACCTATAGGTACCTAATATAACTGTATACAGTTTAAATAATTTAAAGGATTTTGTATTAATGTACCTTGGGTACCTATTGAATGTTATTTTTTTTATTTTATTTTTTTAAGAATATTTATTATTTATATAAAAGCATTAAAAACAATTTTAACAAAGTTATGATAATTTGTAGAGCAAACATGCAAAAACCTATAAATCCATTTTTACAGTTTAAGCGATTTTTACAGTTTAAGCGATTTTAGGGGTATATATTAGGGTGATTCATTTCCGCAAAGTTTTTGTTTTTTTTCGGTGCTCAAGCAAAATATTAATCTACCTATAGAAAAAAAAATTTTCACCAAGGTAGAGCTCTTAATATCAATTTTAAGTACTTGCAGTTTTAATTTAAAGTTTTCCCATTTAAAATGCATGTAAAAAAATGGTTTTTTTTTCAAATTTCTAATGCTTACCCACCTTTGACAATATTGCAAATCGGTTTAATACACCTTATGGGGAATTTCACGCTCTTTAAAATTGCTTTTGAGTTTTTTTTTGTAACTCGCATTGGTTCACCAGTAGGAGTCGTCAAAGGACAGTTTTTGAAAAAAATCTTTTTTTTTATTTTTTCGAGCAAATTGCCAAAAGTAGTGAGAAAAAAGGGCTGATTCATAAAAAAAAAGTTATCCAACCAATATTTAATGAATTTACTGCCATTTTTATAACTGAAAACGTAAGAAATTGATAAATACCAACCTATAATGTTATTTAGATTGATTTTTTCTATTTATTATCATTATATTTCCCTACACTAAGAACTTTTTTAAAATTATTATGATTTCTCACTCATAATGAATATGAAAACAACACATAAATTCATAAAAAAAACAACAAAACTGTAATCGGAATATACAGAAGGTTATGTAACATATTTTAAATTTCGCTTCAAAAAATTAAATAATCTTCATTTATATTTTTTTGCTATTTTTTTATGAATTTATCTGTTGTTTTCATATTCATTATAAGTGAGAAATTAATAATTTTAAAAAACTTCTTAGTGTAGGGAAATATAATGATAATAAATAGAAAAAATCAATTTAAATAACATTATGAGTTGGTAATTATCAATTTCTTACGTTTTCAGTTATAAAAATGGCTGTAAATTCATTAAATATTGGTTGGATAACTTTTTTTTATGATTCAGCCCTTTTTTCTTCCTACTTTTTGCGGTTTGTTAGAAAAAATTTAAAAAAAAAACGATTTTTTTCAAAAACTGTCCTTTGACGACTCCTACTGGTGAACTAATGCGAGTTACAAAAAAAAACTCAAAAGCAATTTTAAAGAGCGTGAAATTCCCCATAAGGTGTATTAAACCGATTTGCAATATTGTCAAAGGTGGGTAAGCATTAGAAATTTGAAAAAAAAATATATTTTTTACATGCATTTTAAACGGTAAAACTTTAAATTTAAATAGTAAGTACTTAAAATTTATATTAAGAGCTCAAACTTGTTGAGAATTTTTTTTTCTATATGCAGATTAATATTTTGCTTGAGCACCGAAGAAAACAAAAACTTTGCGGAAATGAATCACCCTAGTATATATACTATAGTACCTATTCTTACTAATTATGGTAATTAATCTCTTTTGACTTTTGACTTGGCACAGCCAAGAAAAAAACAAAATAGAGACAACCCAACAGGAGCAACATTCCCTTTAATAGTTTTTAAATATTTGGGGGACTCGGCTGTACACATTTTTGGCTAATACCTCAGAATAAGTTAAAGAAAATACATCCGGCCACCATGTTGTAGATGCGTTGTATATTTTGTTTCCATATGGAAACAAAATATACAATTGTATGCGTTAACGCATCTACATCAACACTATACAGTGTAACCGTTATTATATGTTTTTAAATGGGTTTAAAAAATACATAACATAAATTAAAAGTAATTTTTTTATACTTCGGACACCCTGTACTTAATTAATAATTTAATAATAATAATAATAATTTATAATTTAATTAAATTAAAAATACATATTAAATGTTAATTAACTGGGTGTTATGTGACATTATAATTATTATGTATCGCAAATGTTAATAGTATATTAAAAGTTTAATTTAAAACATAAGTTATTTATTAATTAATAAATAATTTGCATAATATTTTGTTAATTTTTTAAGGGTCATTTAGAAGCCTAAAAATGTTTAACAAATACATTGATAGTAAGTATATACAAACATTTTTTAATTGAATAATATTTTGGTTTTAAAATTAGTTCAGATGACTTTTGACATAAGGTTTAAAAAGTATTTGTCATTTTTTTTTTTGGGAAATTAAATTGTATGCCTGTCCAAAGTCATTTGAACAGTATACTGTTTAAAAAACAGCAACACTGTAAAAAATTAAAATAATTTAATATTTCCAGGGGTTGTTATGGAAACCAATTAAATGTGACACATGTCAAATGACACTTGTCAGATTTATTTTGACAGATTGGCGTTGAATGGCCCTTGGGCAAGATTTTAAATCATAATTTAGTAAAAGTGTATCAAAAAATTGTTTTAAATACATTTTAATTAATAAATTGTAAAAACACCAACATTAAATTCAACTTTATATTAAATAATAAAAAACAGTATTTTTTGCCAAGCCTAAAATTATATCCATTTATCGATGATTCAAACACATGACATATATATTAATTGGTCTATTTATAAATCTTTAACTGTTATGTCAATACACGCATACAAAAAACAGTAAACCTTACATAAAAAACAATTAATTTTGCTTACCAACAACTAGATACCCTAGGTATAAGATGAATAAAAAAATTTCTTGGCAAGCGGTAACGAAACTATATCCACTACAACATTCACTTTTCAATTTTATCGTACTTAAATACAGTTGTATTATTGATTTTATTTTTAGTTGGATGCGCTTGAATTCAAGGCAAAGTACGTATGGAGTTAAAAAATATTTTAACCTAACAATTCTTGAATGAAATTCACAGAAACAGTTCGAAATTTTTTACACAAAGGCGCGTGCGCGCTAAGAAATCGCGCCTTGCCAAGATCGGCACCCGGAGGGGTTTAAGAAGTGTATACTGGGTTGCATAGATACAAGCCCTAAAAAAGCAATTTCTCAATCTATGAAAAAGATAAGTTTGTTTGTTTAATCCATGTACCTAGTTCTTGGGTATTCTATTATATGTAAAATTCTTGTATAATCTGCACTAGGTTAAGTTATTTCATAATCGATGGTCACACATTATGCACAAAGCATAGTTCATATTTGAAGGCACATATGTATGGCTGTCATGGCATTGATTTGATATTAATTAAAATTAACGAATATTCTATTCATAGACTATCCTAATCCCAACTAACGTTTAAACGCGAGTTTATTAAATCAATGTATGGCCAAATGCACAAAGCGTTGTTAATATTTGCAGGCACATAAAACTAATGAATATGTATATGGTTGCCATGGCAACGATTTGATTTTGATAAAAATCAACGAATGTTTGGGTTCCCCTAAAAATATGTCAATAGAAAAGTTGCAGTGCTGTGTTAAAATGTACATGAGATAAACAATAAATTCAAAGGACCGTGGCTCCCTTATAAAGCATTTTGTTCACATTTGGCGCTGTAATATCACCCCCTAAATTTTTTGGATGGAACCAGCCTCTTTTGTTCCTCCTACACGCAGCAACAGATCAACATAGCATTGGCTACTTTTTTTGGATTTTTTAGGTCCTAACTTTGTAATCAGTAAAATTTGTTCGTTGATTGGTTTGATGTTAATACGACCCGTTATTTTTTCTTAGAACCACGGGAGCGGATATCCAGCTAGTTTAGGTATAAATTAGTAAAACACCAGGTTTTTAGGTGCTTATAGTTAATTTTATTGAAAATTTTTACAAAAAATATTGTTAAACCCCTCTATTGGGAAGATCTTTAAACCTTATAAATCCTAACAAGCCAATGTTCAGTGGTATACGCTTCTTCTAGAACATCCAACTCAAAATCTTTGTTACCGATTTCAGCGCCACGGACTCTGTCATAACCAGGAGGTTTGCCACCTTAAAAAAAATTACTAGGAAAAAATTATGAGTTTTTTGGTGTTTTACCTTCAGTGTAGACTTGTCCGAATCGGTAATAACACATTTTATACATTAAACAGTTCAGTAGAGTGGGAGAGCCATCTTTATCCACTCTAAATTCACCACTTGGGGAATAGTAGTCCCATTCTTTGATGTGGGCGCCTCTATCAGTGCTACCGCCTTAAAATAAAGTTACTAGATAATTGAGATGGTGATCAAAAGGAAATTAATTGCTGTTTGACACAAATAGTCATTCTACTGAATGACGCGGCTTTTTTGAAAAAGCCATTTTCTTTTTGAAAATGGTCCAAAATTTTATTGGTCACAGCAAACGGAAAAATATAGAACTGTATAGGATGACTCCGCGTTTGAATGCTAAATCTTAAAGTTTTATCAGAACTGTATTGAATCGTGCTTTGTTTTTATATTTTTCGGCTCTATACCTATGCCCGACTATATTTAAAGTCAAACTCAATGGTGTCTTACAAGATACATTATTTTGATTTTCTATATTCAACAGAGAGGTAGAAACTCGACCCTGTCGAATGGTGCAGTCATTTATGTCTCTAGAAATTATTGAAAAAGGGTTCAGTCCAATGGTGCAGCAACTTCGGATTCCTATTCTCTTCAGAGACATAGAAACTCAAGCTTTTCGAATTTTACTGGCAATGATTTTCGTTAATGTCCCCGAGAATTATACAAAAACAGCGCAATGCAATATCGCAACGGTTTCGACTTCTCTTTACTCTACCAAGTTATAGAAACTGGAGTCTCTCTAATACGGTTCTAGTCAATATTTCTGAGAGTATAAAAAGAGGGTGTAATATTGCAAGAAGTTTTGATCTTTTGATGGATGCAAGTAGTTTGAATTTTCTCATTTCTGCATATGATTTTGTTGAAAATAGTTCCTTTCTTTGGTTCCTTTGTAAAGCACAGAAGATAGGATGTAAAGTATATTTATGTATTTTATAAAGTACCTATACAGGGTGTTATGTAATTAATGTTATATATTAAAATACTGAATACCTTTTGACATAACGAATAAAGGAAAAATATTTTAAAAAGCATTTTTCCAAAGATAAAGAAAAAATATGCATTAGAAGTTTTTTTTATTTTTTTGTGATACGCCACTGGTTACACACTTGTTTATCTCTGCACACCTAGCTGTATTTTGTGAGTACATAGATACCAACCAACAAAGTAGCTATGCGTTGCCAGATGTAAAAAATTGTTACTAAAAATTTTTCTTGCAAAAAATAAATAAAAACTCAATAAATACAAAAGTTTTATGCCCTTAAAGCTCTAATACCCTTCTGTATTTATTTACTGATCCAGCTATTAGCTTAAGCAATGATTAGAAAATTTAGTACCTTTGAAATTTGAAATCTATAAACACAAAATTAATTTTTTCATCAGTTTTTTTCTCTGTTTACTCAGATGAAATTGGGACCAGTTCACAGGTTAAACTTTAAACATTTAATTTGTGTAAATAAATCCAAAAGCACTTCCCTTAGTTAAGATATTTACAATTTGAAAACATAACCTAAAATTTAAAAGAAATGCACTAGATTCTGTCATAAAAGTTGGCAGATTTTGTTTGAATTTACCTTCAGTACAAAAATGAAATAACCAACAATTAATAAAAACGCCAAATTGACAATTTGCATTGTTAATTTTGTCATTTTTGTAATTAAGCTAAATTTAAACAATGTTTGTCAACTTTTTTGAGAGATTTTGGAAAAACTGTTGTTACCAACCATAACATAATAAATCCACCAGATTAACCTAAAGTTCCTAGTCGATCAGTGGCGTACTTTTTGGTAGGATAAAGGTTGTTATAAATTATTTTTAGACTTTGGAATTTAGAAAAAAAAAGTTTCAGGTGCTTCTTTATGGACCCTAAGGAACAACCCATTTTAATATACAGCTCTTTCACACTAAAACCGAATATATCTAAATATATATGGGGCGTGGCCTCGCCTCCCTCCAACGCGCGACACAGTAGCTAAGCAAATAGACTGCATCGCTAATGAGATTTTTTGCATTATTATCATTTAATTTTTTAAGTCCTTACCTGCTCGACCTTTCGTCATGTCGTTTATCAAAAAGGAACTTTGACGCGCCTTGGAGGGAGGCGAGGCCACGCCCCATATATATATATATAGGTATATTCGGTTTTAGTGTGAAAGAGCTGAATAACATTAATTACATAACACCCTGTATTTGTATTAAAAATTTCAGAGGTTATGTTGAAAAAATGATCGATATGCTATTAAACTTTAATAATGTCTGTCGGTAGACCCTGCACTATCTCCACTGGTATATGTTAGTACAGCAATATTTAAATATGGTTGATGAAAATGTACACACCAGTGCAGGTTATTGTAGCATCTACGAACAAATGAATTAATGGCCCATTGGCAATTATTCCTTTAAGAAAAATATTCAACACAGCTTAATTAATTAATAAAATGAAAAAAATCACAATCATGTCGTATATAGTTTTTTTTAAGCATAAAATAATTTTCATATTAATACTAGTTCAAAAGTGAAATTACGACCTGTATACTGTGGAGAGTATTGAAACGCTCGACTGACGAATACAAATCTATACCGTGGGGAGATTTAGAAAACCATATTCAAACGTGGCGTCATCCTTACACTTCTATAATTTTCCGTTTGCTGTGGTTGAAGGTGTTTTTAACAACTTCAAAATAATTTTTACAACGTGCTTACCAATTCTGACCATCCACAAAAATTTGTTGATATCATCTGAAGAGTAGCCGGTGAGACCGCCGAAAATAACCAAAACATAGTCAACATCCAACTCCTTCATAATCTCGTAGGCTTTTTCCTCCGAACTGGCCATAGCCTGGCCAACTCTGCTGATATGCGTGTTATTCCAGGTGTTGTTGTCCACCAGAATGGTCCTGTTGGCCATTGCGGTTATCTGGTACCCGTAATCCCACCAAGACATGATCCTCGCGTCCTCCGGCGTGTTCATTTTCAGCCAATAGTACGCCTCGCGGAAGTCGTCGAAGATGATTCGGCCGCCGTCGTGCGATCGCGCCGACAAAACGATCGAAGGCGAGCTGTACGCCTCCGACGTCACCCACGTGCAGTGGAAACTGTACGAGATCAGCAAGAAGGTGACTATGGCGACGAAGGTGAAGGAGACCTCTTTGCGCAGCATTTGCGATTCGTGCTTTTTGTTTTTCTTTTGCTCGGACGGTTTGGAGGATTCCACGTTTTTCATGAACTTAGAGAGCAGGTGAGATACCGCGATGCCGCTGAGAATGCACATGATAGGGGCCAGTACCAACATTAAACGCACCATTACGCCCTAAAAGTTTGCATTACAAAAATGCTCTTACAACTATATTGGTGGGTAAAAGTAACTATATATTTTACTGATTACTTTAGGGTATTCCCGCGAAACCTTACCACACCTTGACAAGAAATCAGATGTGTTATTTAACAAAATAAAAACTATATCTGAAGTCAATAGTTTAATTGCGATCTACTTTATAATATTCGTAAAATGTGATGCAGAAGAGTTTCAATACTCGATAAAATGTTCAAATGTCGCACCCGTTACATTTTCAGAAAATTTTAGAAAATAATGTATACAATATTTGTGCATTTAAAATACGTGCTGGTTTAAGTTTACTATTCAAGTTTTACACAAAAAATTATTACTATGTATTTATCCCAATTTTACAGTATCAACTTTAGAAGCCAACTTGGTCGCATTTTCTAAGGTCGCGCCCGTTACGCGATTCATGGCGTTATAAAAGGATTTCTATACAAGTTTTTATTGACATTTTGTTTGGGTTAAATATCTAATTTTTTAAACTATAGTTTTAAAAATATATGTTTGTATAGTAAACATATATGTTTGTATAGTAAATAGATGACGTCATAATTTTGCGCACTGGTACCAATACTAAATGTATAAAACGAAGTCTGTAATTGAATATTATTAAGCCTCGTACAGACTTGAGCATTGAGCCGAACAACAAGCCGAACAACGAACCGAACGGCAAACAGAACACTAATTTGGACGGGAGTGCGAACGCGTTTGCGAACATGTTCGCAAATCCTGACCGTTCGGCGAACGGTTCGCCCCGTTCCCATCACTTGTCGGTTTTTCCTTCGACATCAAAGGAAATGCTCGCGAATGCGTTCCGAGGGTTTGGACGGGTCAAAACAAAACGGCGAACAGACCAGTGAATTGTTCTCATTTAAGTGTTTATTTGTCTTCTCCTTTAAGTGAGTTTGTTTATTTTAATATAATTAAAATTCAACACAAGTCATCCTCGTAAAATTTTTGTAATGCCCACTCAAAGCTTGAAACTTTAATTCACTTACTAAATTGAAATTTGTCGTACTTCTTTGTGTATAAAAATGGGTTTGCCACCATCTTCTTGTTTATCGCGATTTTTTCTTTTGATTTAATAATGAATAATGAATATATATATATATATATATATATATATATATATATATAAGCTGCTGCTACTACACTTTTTTCCATCTTTAGTAAAACTTTAACTAAGATTTACTACGAGCAATTATGGGAACAGTACGAACGTTCCATTTGTTGTTCGGATCGTCGAAATCAAAAAAGGCCATTTGTCGTTCTGTTTGCCGTTCGGTTCGTTGTTGCTTGTTGTTCGGCTCAATGTTCAGATCTGTACGAAGCTTTATAATGCATTTTAACCAAATTAAGTTGGCAGCAATGTTGTCATGTTTAGATTAAAATTAAAATGACGCATAGAAAAAGAAATTGACATTTCAGAATTTCGAAGCTGTCAGTTGTGTTTTTGAATATTTCGTTTAGTTCGTGTATAATTTCGTTTATTTTGTTTGTTGTTTGTGTTATTTTATATCGTTTAAGTTTTCATTGCCGTTTTTGTGTTTGTTATAAATTGTTTTTTGTTTTTCCTATATTTAAAATGCCAAAACATTTAAATAGTCGGAGTCAAGAGTTAAGCCTAAATTATAGATTGCCTTCCTTCCTTCCTCCCGTAGTCGTGCCCGTACGATTTGTGCGTCTTGTAAAAAGTCAATTTATAGATTTCCGTGTAAAATTCCGTAACCATGCGCGATGACACCTAAAATGGTTGACATTTATTTTTGTTTATATTTTGCGTTTTACCCTTTGTGTGTAAATATGAAAGATAATCATTTATATATTAGTGCAGTGATCACAATTTTAATTGCCCAGGCAGCTTGTTGTATACTGCACAAGTATCGAGAAAGGCAGTAACTGCTAGACAAGAAATTTGTGGGAAATTAGCATAAACTACATTTTTATAAAAAGCAGTAGGTATTTAACTGATTTATTTAACTTAAAAGATAGTTTACTGCATTTCTTTGTTGAATTAAGATACAAAATGTCCATAGCTTTATCATAGCACAAGAAAACGCATTTGTAGTTACTGCCTTTCTTCATAGTAGTATAATGAAAAAAACATCGAACCGGACCGGGAAACTACGGGGTTTTACAAAGCAACGTTTCTAAAAATGAAAGACATTGATCATAAACAATATCTAAATATCCTATAAAAATAAATTATTTAATAAACTGAACACCTACCTTAAATAATACTAAACAATCATGTATTTTAAATATTTTATGTCTACGCGCTGTCACCCTACAGCGCATGTCCATAACAAGCACTGTGATTGGTCAAAGACCTTTACGGTAAAAGATAAAACTTAAAAATTTCTACGGGAGGAAGGAATGCCGTCCTTACGATACGGAAATCTATAACTGGCACTACGATTTAAATAAACATTTTTGACGTAACTGTCACCATTAACATTGCCCGTTATTAATTTTAATTAAACTTAACAATTATTGATACTTTAAAATATTAAAATAACTTCAAAATACGATTTTGTTAAGAAAATATTTTATTCTTTAATTTTTTTTATTACTATAATTGCAAAATAATATCACAAAGTATTAAAAATTCCTACACGGGAAATGTTAATGGTGACAATTACGTAATGTTCATCTTCTACGGGAGGAAGGAAGGAAGGAAGGAAGGCAATCTATAATTCAGGCTTTAGTATCATTCTTTATACGCTATTTTGAGGCAGAACGGGATAATAATGGACCTTTGTTACCTTTAACAGCTGGTAAATAGGATTATTATTAATTAATTATATATTAGAATATTTAACAAAATATATGTTGGATACCAGAGACTGACTTTAGAGGGCAAAATTTCTGGGTTTTATAGCTGAAAATGCCTTTAAAAATGGCTAAAGAAAGTACTGGGTTTTATAGCTAAAAATGCCTTTAAAATGGCTAAAAAAAGTACTTTTGGCGGTGCATCATATAGGTTATAAAACTTTTGACATTTTGGTATTCTAAGGTCCCAAATCTAGGGACCCTGTGGTATTATTCATGTAAACGCCATCTATCGCCCTGTAGTTGCACTTTCACTTGATGCAATGATTTTAGCATCACATTGACAACCGTGCCCGATCAGCTGATTGATGACGTGTGCGTCGTTTCCTTTTAAATTTACTAACCCCCCCGCCCACCCAACCAATCCCTTGTCTATGTTTACTATATATTAACATATCTTGATATATATGAACAAACACTTTATTATCATGAAAAAACGCAGTGTCAGTGTCGCACCCGTTACAAAGGAAATAGCCTTTACTTACCGCAAAATAAATGCTGGTGACTCCATACAAAATGATGAAAATATTGGAATCAGTGAGATTCTTAAAGCAGAAGTACAAGCCAGCTGGGAACAAAAACACCAAAATCTGCAAATCGAAATAGAACGAACTCCACGAGGTGGGTTGATGTTCCGATACGCTGGCAATGATCGGAATGTGATTTTTCGCGTAGGAAGGATCTAGGAGGGAATAAAATCGACCGGTCCACGGCGATATTTTACCGGACAAAGTTAAAATACCGCCGGCGAATACGACTAGAATACCAACTGTGTACACTAAAAACGAGTACAGAGTTTCAAAGTCATCCCTGGATAGTTTGCTTCTTATGTAGTCCACAAATGCCACGATTTGGCACAAACCAAATACTCCCAAAGCCTAAAAAAAAGTTAACCACTAAATAAATAACTAGTACGCGAACGCAAACTCACCAAAATGTGTTCAGAACTCTGCACAGGCTGGAAGCCAACAAAGGAAATTTGCATTGACAAAATAGTACCAACACAATATAAAGTACTATATGCCACATAAATTCTGTGTGAGAATCTTCCAGTTGCCATTAAAGTCAATACATGTAATGGTATCAAATTTATCAAGAATACATAACCTCCCCAAGAAGACACCTAAAAATGTTAAAATGTCAAAATGTAACAGATCATATTTATTTGACATTTGGAGGTTATTTTTCTGATAAATAACCTCAAACTGTCAAATATTGGCATTCAAATAATTCGGAGTTTGAATTACTCTAATTATATATTCAAATAGTTTGATTCAAAATTCGAAAAAATCCTAAGAATTTCCTACTTAAAATTAGTGTTGCAACGGTTACGGTTACGGTTACGGCTAATTCACGGTTTTCGATATTATACGGTTAATCGTAACCGTATACGGCATTTACGGTTTTTCATGCTACTTTGTGAATGCATGTAAAAAGAAGATTGAAGAGTATTTAACGTTACCAAATATACCACATACGTCCAATCCGTTTTTATTATGGAAAACGTGTTACACGTTTCGGCGTTTGAGAGTGTTGACACTAAGGTATTTATCATACAAACCATTGTAAGTGAATTTGGAGAGGTTGTTTTCGACTGCAGGTCTTGTGCAAACACCAAATAGGAACAGGCTGATTCCGCAGAATTTGCAAATGTTATGTTTTTTAAATAAAAATTTGACTGTCTTAAATTTTGAATATTAACTTTTTTATTTTTTAAAATATATTATTCAGGTACATACTTAGGTTTTACTTTACTGTTTTTAGGTTTAAAATTTTACTCGAGTAATGATCATTTCCTTTTGTTTTATATTTTTTATTAGAAATTCTGTTTTTGTTTTACATAAATTATTATTTAACCTTTACTGAACGTGTGTATTAATTTCATTTTAAACAATAAACGTTATTTTTCGTAATTCTGTAATTTTTTTGGAATAACCGTGAATGTATTCGTAACCGTAGAGCTAACCGTAACCGTAACCGTAACCGTAAAACCCGGAACCGTTGCATCACTTTAAGTTAAAATATTGTAATCAAAAAGTTCCAACCTCGTAAATAATTATTTGCATGAAATTATCTGCAAAACAAAAATGTGACGCGACGCTTAAAAAATTATGGCAACACTGTAAGATTGCTTGTAACATTCTGTGATTTAATATGTTCAAACTGAATGTGATTTAATGTGTTCAGACTGAATCATTCAGTGCCTATTTAACTATAGTTTAGGTTATCTTTTTAAGCTATAAAAATATGTTATTGTTTTTCTATTATTTTTTGTATTATAGGTACAGTGGGGTTTTAAAATTTCTGGAAAAATCGAGCCGGCGTTTTTTCACAACTTTTTCGGTTTTTTTGGGACACTTTAAAACCCTACTGTTTGTTAAAAAGTTTTTGAAGGGTGCCCAAAAGTTATTGTCACTAGGTCAGTGCTGACCACAGATCTGTGGTGCTGACCATAGATCATATCATATCAATCATGGTACTGACATTAAATTTTAACGTTAAAATGTCACAATGTAATACCTAGATAAATTACCTCAAATGTTAAAGTATTGACATTTAATTAGGTAATTCTAGGGATTTCTAAACCAAATTTATGAATTTTTAAAGTCCCTGTTTAATAGTGATATAAAATAAAACCCTAAAATTTCCCTACAGTTGAAAAAATTTCCAAGTGCCATTTAATCAGTGTTACCAGATTCTGTCAAAAAAAGACCGTACGTTTCGTTCGAATTTACCTTAATTACAAAAATGACTCAATGGACAATATTAAATAACGTCAACTTGACATAATTGCATTTATTTGCATTGTGTCATTTTGTAATTAAGGTAAATTCGAACGAAACGTACGGTCCTTTTTTGACAGAATCTGGTAACACTGCATTTAATTCAAAACTATTTGCTCAACTGTCAAACTAATTCAACTAATTTGACAGAACTTACCATGTAAAAGTATGCTAAAGCAGACATGGTTCCCCAGAAAATGGTTCCAGTTTTGACAGCTTTAATCCAGGTATAATAAGTAAACAACATGCAAAAAATAGCAATCCCTTCATTATCATAACTGCCAGCAACTGATCTGCTGATATATCCTGGCACTATGGCCACCATTGCTGCTGCAACTAGACCTGCCCCTTCGTTTTTAACCTCCTTTGTTAACATGTATGTTATAATAGTTGTAAAAGATGAAAATAGAGGTGCCAAGAAAACACACACGTTTCTTATATCGATTGTGATGTTCAGTAGCCACGCTAAATGGTAGAATGCCGCCGAGGTTACCATCAAACCTGGGTATATGGTACCCCCGATAATTCTTCCCAAGGGATACCATGCTCGGTCATCAAACCAATTGTGGAAGGAATAGAAACCCTGTTCAGCTAAATACTTGGTTGTGCGATAGTTAAAATATGGATCAAACTCGTGAATTACGCTTTCGAATCTTAATACTGAGAATAATCTCGTTGCAAATGCTAAAAGTTAACAATTTATTCTAATATATATACCTACTACATATATGGATTCAACTTACAAAGAATGGCAGCTAAAGTTAAAATCGAGAGAGTCAATAGGGTTTCCTGTTTCCCAACGTTTTCATGATGAACATGAGTTACAATTTTTTCATTTTTCTTACTTGTATTATGCATTTTACAAGAGATTCTACAAAAAAACGTTTAAATATAAAACACTCCTTTTTCCACCCACGTTAACACACCTTTATTACTGTATTTTTAGCTTAATATAACACTTATATAACTACAAAAACGTTTACAATTAACTTTTACATTAATATTTCGCGTTTAAATCACTAAATTCTGCATAAACGCCGGTTAATACATTTTGAAGCGTATACGTCATCCAACAAAACACCGGCCTGGGGAGTTTTATGTCAACCCACAGTGTGTGTCAACCTCAGGTCTTTTTGAACAAAAAATCCCTAAATGTGTATACTGAGTTGCATAGTTAAAGGCGTTAAGGGATATTAAAATGTTAAAAATTACGCTGTGGCTCCCGTCCCGAGGCGGGACTTAAGTTCAGTCCCGATTGACGTCATAATTTTAAGTTTTGTTATAACATATATGTTATAATAAAATAATAATAATAAATTGTACCTGTATACATGTTAAGGGCACTTTAGTTACGTCATAAAACCAAACCAACCCAAACTCAACAACACAACCCAACCGACCCCGCCCCATTGGGCCCCCCCCCGCCCCATTGAGCAAAAAACCCAACTAAAATGGGCAAATTTATGTTACGATAAAAATAAAACACTTTTTAACAAAGAAACAACAAATTTATAAAATAAAAAAAATAAAAAAAGTTTGACAACTTCTAGTGGGATCGAACCCGGTACCTCTCGCATGCCAAACGACCGCCCTACCATCTAAGCCATCGAGCTTGACACAAATTATAAAATCTCGGGGAATAAAAACCGATTTACAGTGTGTGACGTCAATCGGGACTGAACTTAAGTCCCGCCTCGGGACGGGAGCCACATCGTAAAAATTAACAATATTAATGATATTATTAACAAACGTATTAATTGTAATTATTTATGTCTGAAAGTTAATAAATTAAAAAGTCATTTTTTACTTCATATTACATCATATTAACATGAAAAAATGTTCCTGCTAAATTGAGTAAGCACTGGTGGTTCAGGAATGCCACATTCTTTAAATTTCAATGGTTTTTTGGTTATTCGTATCATTCTTTTGGCCAGGGCGTCATAGCAGCAAAGAGGTTTTGATATATCCATCTCTACAGAATTCGAGAAACCTTCCTAAATTCCTGCAAAAGCGCTCTTAGTAAAGACAACAACCCAATCCTGCTAACCAAAAACACTTTCAAGGGTTGTTCCAAGAACAAAAAATGCTACAAAAAAGTGATTTCGTAAAAAATTGTATTGAAACAATAATTTATGTGGGATGCAGATAATTTAGGTTAAAATTGACAAAAAATGTTTACAAGAAAAAAATTATAAATGGAAAAAAACAAAATGAAACATTTTTTCCTTTTTTTTTTTAATAATATATCTGTTAAACAAACATTAGAAGCGAAATTAGCATAAACAACGAAAAATCCAAACATTTTTATTAAATCATAGATATTTTGGAATGCTAAAAAACTATAAAAGAAACAAAAATTACCCCTAAAAATTTATATCCAGGAACGACGCTTGGGCCCGAGTTTGATAAGCAAGGGGCACACGTACGCAAAATCAAATGTAGCCAAGTATAATGACGTAACAGCGCCGGGACGGCAAAATTGCGATGTTGTCAGGTTGGAGGGAAAATCCGAGAAGCTGGAAAATGTATAATAATGATAAAAACAAGTCAAATATAAAATATATGGATTGTTTGATGTTAAGGAGTTTAAGATAATGATGAATAGAGTTAAAATAATAAAAATAGCTGGATTTTTTACAGATTATCATACAAAATTGGTATTTTTTTCATGGAATTCCATGAAGAATGTTTGATACCAAAAATATATTAAAATAAGGTAGTTTTGTGTTAAAACTAACTTAATAATGTAAAATATGGTTTATTAACGGGACCATGCTAATAATTTTGCGAAAAAAGTAGTTTAAATCGTGTTTTCCAGGAGATAACATGAAATAAGTAAAATCTATTGTATTATCTGGATGAAGACTTGGCAACTGGGCTTTCGTGCCAGTACAGAGCAGCGACAGTGTCAGTGTGAGCGCAACCCCGTATAGTGCGACTTTACTACCAAACTACCACTATCACTAAAATAAGTATACAGTATTAGCCTGAATTGACATGGTATAAGGATTTTGATAGAAGTGATTCTACTCGTGTTAAGTGGCCCGTAAAAAGTTTCAATTCGAAGAAACATTGAATTTTAACCAGCGAATGTTGTTTTCGTATGGAACTTTTGGTAAGTTTTTATTAGTTATTTTAGGGGCTTAATTAATTGGAACAAAGACATTTTTTAATACATTATTAAAACATTGCTTAGATTTTTTACTTTTAAAAAACTTTTAATTAGAAAAATACTTGCGCATTCGCCATTTTTTTAAATCGAAAAATACCTACATATGTATATTGTTTAATTTAACATACATATGTATATTTATATATTTAACACCATTCTATTTATTACTAAAATAAGCAAAATTAACAGATAAAAGTTATTTTTAAAACAAATTAAATTAATTGCCATATAAACTTTGACACAACACAATTTATTTAAGAATAAATAAATATTATTGTGTTTGTTTTGATATGTAAAGTTACATAAAACCTTAATTAATGAACATTTGTAGTAATTATTTTATAGTTTTTCATTATTTATGCATATTATTATATCATTAAAAATACCTATAGGTATACTCATAAAAAAATGTTTTTTTCTTATTATTTAAATTGTTAAATATAAATTAATTTTAATTAAAAAATAATATTATATTAAAATATTCTAAATTTAATAAAAATAATACCTATAAATATTGTTTCATAATACTGTTTTTGTATGTATACACACAAAAACTATATTAAGAAAAATGTTTCCAAATTTTAGGATTTTAAGTCTAAAAAAACTTGGCAACGCTGTTTTTTTGATAATTGGAAATATTGCCCGTCGAAAAGCGGTTGTTAATGAAACATTTCACTTAAAGCTGCTGAGGTTGACATTGTCGACAATATATTAAAGAACGAATGTCATAAGACGTCATTTTCTCGCACGAGAACGTGTGTGAGAAAACGTCTTATGAGAAGAGTTTTTTGTAATATTTTTTCTATTTGTCAAAATTTTAGGATGAATATAATTCATCTAAAAAGTTTGTCGAATTATAATTTACATTGCGATTCAGGGACATTTTCTACAGTTTTAAATTTTATATAAAGGGTGGGCCATTTTTATGTTGAATTATAAAATAGCAATGAGAACAAGAAAAACTGATTTTTTTTCAACGAATTTTGCTTTATTTGATACAATGTTTCTTCCGATTAAGTATGGAAAATGATTTTATTTAAGTGGCCACCTCAGCTGGCTCGGCAGTAGCCCATCCTGGAACACCAATTTTCGAGTACTTTGTCAAAAGTTTGCTGCTCTATTTAGGCAATTTGAGCTTGAATGTTTTGTTTTAAATGGTGAATAGGCTTTGTTACGGCGACGTGTGGATTTTCCGTGGCCCAAATCCTACAGTTTTGCTTTTGACATAACCTCCGAGGTAAAAATGCGCCTTATCCGAAAAGATGATTTTTCTTGCAAAATTAGGGTCATCGTTGAACTGGTTTAAAGCCCACTCAGCAAAGCGAAAACGTTGTGGATGGTCAACTTGCTTTAACTCCTGAACAAGCTGGACTTTGTACGCAAACATACCGATGTCTTTGTGCAGAATCATCCTCAGAGTGGTACGGGAAAAGCCGAGTTGTTGACATCTGCACCGAGTTGATGTTGACGCGTTCATGCGTACATTTTCGGCCACAGCAGCGATTTCTTTAGGTGTACGTCTAGGACGAGCATGCGAAACATGTTTTATGTCCACCAGCATTCCATTTCTGCGCAATTTTTTGACCAAATTTGTAATACTTTGGTTTGACGGCGCCTCATTTCTTTCAAACGCAATTTTCTTGCCGTCTCTGCGATCACAGTCACATTCAAAGTAAGTTTTGAGTATTTCGAAACGTTGATCCAAATTTATTCGGTGCATATTTTGTAATCGGAAGGTTAAAACTAAACTACTGTCAACAATTCATGGTGCTTAAGTTGAAAGCTTCATTAATAGCTCGTAGTTTAAAATTCAACTTATAGATGGCCCACCCTTTATATATATATATATATATATATCTATCCGGTCCACGTTTTCAGTCCCGGTATACTATACAGGCTACCTAAGACCCACTTGATCCAGGTAATTTAGGCGAGTATATAAACCGTAAATAAGCTTTTAAAGAATATAACTCAATAAGCATGCTTCAAGGGGAAACATTTTCTTTTTACAAAAAAAGTTGCAAACTGAATAACACTTTTTAAACCCGCATCATTTTACCGACTTCTCGCGCCCGTTTATACTGCATAACCATATTCAACCAACGTCCCGAGACCCAGCGATGTTGCCAAATGGTAGGGACTCGTGGGGTAGGTCGAAAGTACGTAAAAATAATATACTAATCCGGGATTCTCCTCATTGCCTGTAAATAGGGAAGATAGCAGAATTGGCGAAATTGTTTGTGTGGTGTGAAAATATCGGCAGGAAGCAAATTAATTGCTCAAATGGCAATACTAGGGAAAAATCAAAATACAGTTAAGGAGGCATGTTTGGTTAGGTTAGTTTTTTTATTTACTATTATTTCTTTTAAAGCAAAGTTAATTTTTAGGTATCCCCATCAGTGGCGTAGCTAGCCTCAAGGGGGCCTCGTATCAAAAATCTGGTAGGGGCCCTTATACCGGAAAAGGTGCTGGCAAAAAAATGTTTAGGGTATAATTTTTTTGCATTTACCAATTTTTATAATTCAATAAATAATATATGTGGGTAAATCTCACTAAATGTCCCCCGATGAGTTTGACCGACACTTTTATTGTGTTTTGATCTTTCATAATTAAGTAGATATTACAGCTCAGGTTCCAGATTTTTAACCGCAATTAATTATTTTTTACAATGTTTTAAAAGTCTAAAACATATCCTCCGTGACTGTTACTCTTTCTAGGTTAACCTATATGTTTTCAAATATCTGAGGTAGTAAAAGCATACTAAAAATATCAGTTCACCAAGTAAATTAAACACATCCAAAGCAATCGAATCGAATATAAAATATCATTAAAAATTAAAAGAAATAATTTTTATAACCATTTATGTAGGTGTTAAGTAGATTTTTTTATAAATATTTTATGTATGTACAATTGTATTTTAATAAAATATTAAGGTGTCAAAAGATACAATAACTTATTTTAAATATACAAAGGATAAAAAACATACGAAATCCTAACCTCCGTGAAGATATCTTCCGTGAAGCTCTAATATTCAAAATGTATGATTTCTTAAAATTCTTGCATTAGTGCAGAACCACTTATGTTATGTTATTACTAGACCTGGTGGCTTCCCAAAAACCCCATTCTAGACTAACAGTGAAACAACCAAAAATAAAAAATAATCATTTTCACTTGGGGGACATAAAATTTGATCTGGTTTTAGACATTTGCCGTTCTTCAACATCTTTTAAAAGGTGTCTATTTTAATATAAAGAAAAGTCATTTGAAACAATTGTAACGCTAATAATTATTTTTAATTTGCCATTAATTTAACCTATGATAATAACACCCTGCGCCGTAGACAACGCATAGCGGAAAGGTGCGGGCAGAAAAATTTTGTATGAGTTAACGGCCTCGTTGTAACAGGAGGGTATTCAGGAAAATTAATTTAATAAATCGAAGAATAAACAATTTAATAAAAATATTATTTATTTATTTAATTTGATGCCTCAATTTTTTTTACATGTGGGTAATATATTTTTTACGGCTGATACCGCGGAAGCTACCCCCCTGATCCCCATCCAAAGAAACGCCGAAAATCCTGTAGACGAATATAGTTTCGACAGCAAAGAAAATTTAAGTATTTCCTTTAAAAAATTTAACTTTATTTATTTTGCGTACTTCATCAAATTATTTTTTCTTCTTCCCTTAAAATTTTGGCGTATTAGTTTTTAAAATCGGTTGGTTTGCACAAATTATTACTTTAATTAAGTGTGGTTTAAAAGTACGTGATTTTATAAAATGATTCCTGTGAATATATAATGGTGATAATTAATAAATTAAAAAATTAAGTTTTTCTCAAATAACGTACCAACCCATTTAAACTAATACGGGTATTGTATAATTTTAAGGGCATTTTAAATCCCTTTATTTTGACGTAATAGTTTTTAATCGGTTTGTTTGTTTTCAAGATATTACAGAAAATTATTCTTTTTTAATTTATTTTTGTCTTAAATATCTCAGGAACAAACTAACCGATTTTAAAAACTAATACGCCAAAATGTAGAGATTTAAAATGCCTTTAAAATGACGTATCACTCATTTTTAATTTAAAGTAAAGAAGAAAACCAGGGTGGAAACTTTTTGGTTAATTTAATTTGGAAAATATCAATAAAATTTCATTTTCACTAATCAGCATTCAAATTGGAGTATTTTAGTATTTTTATTTAGTAGTTCTGAGATACAGGGTATTTAAATTATACAGTAACCGTACAATATTAAAAAAATATAAATTTTAAAATACAAGTTTAAAATTTGGTATGCTGTAGGTAATATCTAAAGCAAATAATTTTTTCTACGACCACTATGTAAAAGTCACTTTTCATGATGGCATCTTTGCTTAGAAAATTAATCTTTTCTTTGGCAAGGCAAAACACGAATGTAAAGTGACATTTCTGTGTGAAAAATGACAGGTCTGTGTGAAAAGAACCGGAAAGCATCGTTTGACATTCAACTGTCAAAAAAGTTTTTAGGTTATTTTGTTTTGTATTTAAAAATAATAAAAAATAAAAGGGTCGCAGAAAAAACATTGTGTTATACTTGTGAGAAAAGCTTTCTTCAAGCTCGTGTTAATGCACACTCGGCCTGACGGCTTCGTGGGCAACTTAAAAACTCGCATGAAAAAGTCGCTTTTCAACACTTGTAAAACAAATAACTATTTTATTTAATTTTAATTATTATACCGGGTGATTTACTTTATACGCTGCTCAATTAATCAAATTTGGCAATATGTATTGATTATAATTCAACAATAAGAAAGCTGATGATAATAATAATAATAATGATAATAACGATAATAATGCTAATAATGATAATAATCATGATAAATAAATAAATAAACGGAAATGAAAATTGATATTAAAAATACTTACCATTAAAATTATCAACTACATGTTCCACAGACA